ATGCTTCTTAATTCTGCATTTTTTTTTTTTTTGAGATGGAATTTCACGCTTGTCGCCCAGGCTGGAGTGCAGTGGCGTGGTCTTGGCTCACTGCAACTTCCACCTCCCGGGTTCAAGTGATTCTCCTGCCGCCTCCCAAGTAGCTGGGATTACAGGCACCCACCACCACACCCAGCTAATTTTTGTAATGTCAGTAAAGACAGAGCTTCACCATGTTGGCCAGGCAGGTTTTGAACTCCTGAGCTCAAGTAATCTGCTTGCCTCGGCCTCCCAAAGTGCTGGGATTACTGGCATGGGCCACCGCACCTGGCCAGTTCTGCATTTTTAAGATCAAGCCCTGTTGCTGATGTGCACCCACAGTACATATGAATCTACCACGTTCTGCAAGTGACAAACACCTAGGTGGCCTCCAACTCCCCATTACCATGAACAACACTTCAGTGAATCTTTTTATGCATGTTCCTTATGGACCCTGGTGAGAAATGTTCCAGGATGTATACCCAGAAGATGATCTCCAGGTCATAGGGCATACTTACTTACACTAAACACTCACAGGGAGTTTGGAAGTTAGCTAGAAGAGGGGAGAGGAAAGTCCACTCTAGCAGGGCAAAGAGCGTGGGCAAATGAATGGAAGAGCGCTACAGCAGAGAGGTTTCTGAGAATTATACACTCATTAGGGCCAGGGAAAGCAGAGCATAAGTTGTCATGTGGGGGAACGGAAGAGCTCTCAATGTCAGGCCTTGAAATGCTTCCTGTGCTAAGCTAAGGGGTTTGAATTGTAGATTGAACATTCTACTGAGCCATAGACAAGTGTTAGCAGGTGAGAGGTCATAGTCATTTGCATTTCTATAAAGGAATACCCTGAGGCTGGGAAATTTGTAAAGAAAAGATCTTTATTTGGGCCACAGTTCTGCAGACCGTGTAAGAAGCAAGGTGCCAGTGTCTCCTTCTAGCTAGGGCTTCAGGGAGTTTCTACTCGTGGTGGAGGTGGGTGGGAAGCAGGCATCACGATGTGAGAGAGGGGAAGAAGGTGCCAGAAATTTTTTAGCAATCAGTGCAGGAACTAACAGAGAACTTATTCATTACCTTGAGGAAGGCACCAAATTGTCTATAAGGGATCCATCCCCCATCTCCCAAACATGTTTCACCTAGGTCCCATCTCCGATTCGGGGGATCGAATTTCAATATGAGATTTGGAGGGAACAAACATCCAGACCATATCAGAGGTATCATTAGATTTGCATGTTAGAAAGGGCACTCTGCCTGCCCTGCACCCTCGCAAAAGCATCACCTCCAACACCGAGCTCAAACACGAAAGTGGCTCAAACATCAAGGCGGTGCGTCCTCTCTTAAAGGGATCTGGTGGCTGGTCTCCATGTCTACCATACACAGTGTGCAGGACAAGAGCTGGGCAGTGTGGGCATCAAGGAGATGGCTACATCCCAGTTCCTGCCAGCCCAGATTGGGCTCTAAGAGAGGAGCACTGACACAGAGGGGATAGACAGGGGAAGGGTGTTAGTAAAAAGGGACAGAAGGAGTGGGCCTGGAGGGGCTAACCCTCCTAGACCAAGTACCAAAGATGATGGCAGACTCACTGATCTCAGAAGTAGGAGGTGGGGGCCAGGCGTGGTGGCTCACACCTGTAATCCCAGCACTTTGGGAGGCCAAGGCAGGCAGATCACTTGAGGCCAGGAGTTTGAGACCAGAGACATGGCAAAACCCCGTCTCTACTAAAAATACAAAAAATTAGCCAGGCGTGGTGGCATGCACCTGTCGTTCCAGTTGCTTGGGACACTGAGGTGGGAGAACTGTTTGAACCTAGGAGGCACAGGCTGCAGTGAGCTGAGATTGCACCACTGCACTCCAGCCTGGGCAACACAGTGAGACTGTGTCTCAAAAAAACAAAAAAGAAGTGGGGGCTGACTAGGGGGATACACAGGCAGAACTCTGACCCAGACGATAGGATAGAGAGGGGTAGGGGTATGGTAACATTGCTACCTAAATCCTATGTGCACAAACTAGGAAAAAAAAAAGGTCGGTACTGTATATATAATTGAAACATGATGACACCATTATTTCTGACATTCAGTTGTCCTTCCTCAGAATCTTTGGCTGCTGATTTTATTTCTGGCAACAATACAAAACCAAACGACCAAGAGGATTAAAAAAGAAAAAAAAAACAAAACCGTATGTGCAAGACAACTCCAGGGCCTTTGGGATCTGCATCTTTTTCAAGGTAATGTAAGCAGGGATGTGTGTCCTTTTGGAGTCGTGTCTTCCCTTGGCTCCTGGGGCACTGTACCCTCTAGATCTCGTCTCTCTGTGTGCCTTCACTGGCTCCACATCCTCCCTCAAAGGGCTCTCTCTGACACCCAGCTTCAGCTCCTGTCCCAGGGCCAAAGATTTCCAAATCTCCCACCCTGCGATCCCTCAGCCCACCCTCATCATGGCTTGCCCAGCTGCCTTCAGATTTATTCACTCAAATGTCTCCCTCTGATGTCACCTCAAGCTCAATATGTCAAGGAGAAACTCATACTTTCTTCACATCCCTTCCCTAAAACAGCATTTCTTCCTGACTCGTCTACTGCTCTCCAGCACCACCACTTTCCTTGTTCCAACCTTGGAGTTACATAACTAACAGATGCCTCTCTATTGCTCCCAAGTCAGCAGCCAACAAATCCCAGGGATTCTTTTTCTACAGTAAGATTTGGCTCTTTCTTTTTCCACTGCCACCAGCAAGACTAACCACCTAACATTCTCTTCTGTATTGAAGCCCTCCAATTTGGCTGCCTACCTCCACCGTTTCTCTAACACACCATTCCCCCTGCAGAGCCGTGCTTCTGATAATTTAATGCTACTGTTATGCTTTTTAAAAAAATCACAGAGCAGTTTCTTAAAAGGCATTCCAAGGTTGAATGTAAAGTTGTTTATTAGCTAGTTTTATTTATTATAGTTTTTGTTTTTGTACTGTTGAATAAAATACTTTATTTATATAGTTATGACTTAATATGCTCTGGCCCCCAACTATGTGCCAGGCAAGGCTACATAAATATGAACAGAATATGGCTTTTGCCAATTTCTGAAAAGCATATAGGCCATGGTAAAACACAAGCACTCATCACAGTTTATTTAGGATGCAGTGGAGAAAGAGCTGTAGCAGAGAGGAATCAAGATAATGCCAAAGTCTTGGGGAGAAAACTCGGAGCAGGAAAGATTTTATAGATGATAAAATATGCAACAGTGCATTGAAACATGAGTGAATGTTGGCCAAGCACTTGGTAGTTTGGTCTTTACTGTTAGCAAGGGACAGTTTCTGTCTCTCTCTCTCTCTTTTTTTTTTTTTTTTTTGGAGACAGTCTTGCTCTGTTGCCCAGGCTGGAGTGCAGTGGTGCGATCTCGGCTCACTGCAACCTCGATCTCCCGGGTTCAAGAGATTCTCCTGCCTCAGCTTCCCAAGTAGCCGAGTAAGATGACAGGCATGAGCCACCATGCCTGGCTACTATTTGTATTGTTAGTAGAGACAGGTTTCACGGTGTTGGCCAGTCTGATCTCGCACTGCTGACCTCAGGTGATCCACCCTCCGCCCGCCTGGGCCTCCCAAAGTGTTAGGATTACAGGCGTGAGCCACCATGCCCGGCTGGACAGTCTCTTTTATAGGTAGAGTACACACTCTCCTCTTCCCGGAGGCTATGACTCAATCTAAATTACCCTCCGCCCTCTCTCTAGCCTCTTTCAGTCTCCCTAGGTCTTTGCTAATTCAAATTCTGCTTTCTTCCAAGTCCACCTCGAGTCAAGACTAATTTCTCCTCAGCGCTTCCTGGCTCTGATCTTCATCTTCTCCACCCAGTACTGCACAGTATCCTTTTTTTTTTTTTTTTTGAGACAGAGTTTCGCTCTTGTTAACCAGGCTGGAGTGCAATGGCGCGATCTCTGCTCACCGCAACCTCCGCCTCCTGGGCTCAGGCAATTCTCCTGCCTCAGCCTCCTAAGTAGCTGGGATTACAGGCACGCGCCACCACGCCAAGCTAGTTTTTTTGTATTTTTAGTAGAGACGGGGTTTCACATGTTGACCAGGATGGTCTCGATCTCTTGACCTCGTGATCCACCCGCCTCGGCTTCCCAAAGTGCTGGGATTACAGGCTTGAGCCACCGCACCTGGCCCATAATATCCTTTCTTAATCAGAAAGTTAGCACTACCTTTAATGACAAAGGTTCTCAAAATTAAAACTGTATTTAAATCATCTGCATATGTGTTCGTAGGTTTGGCTCAGCACGTAGGAATCTGCTTTTCAACAGATCCCCAGGGGATCCAGGCACAAAGGATCCTGGACCACCCTGACCCACTTTGAGGAACCCTGTGTTAGATCTGTGCGGTTGGCTTTTATTTCTCCATCGGGGCTGCCCGCAGCCCACCGCGCCTAGCAAAGTGTCCGTGCGCTGCTCAGCGTCTGGCTCCCGGTGTCTGCTCAGCTCGGTGACTATTAGATACTTCAATATTTGATGACTCCCAGAGTCAAGAAGAGTAGCTCCGCCAAGTGCACAGAGCTGCCCTCTCCAGAGGAGACTAACTCCTGAGGGCTAAGGTCGCTCTGAAAGTCACCAGAAGAACAGAAGGAAATTACATCTTCTGTCCTCTCAAAAAATGAGCAGTCATCACCCCAAATGACCTTAGTGCGTCTCAAATAAACCACGCTTTCAGATTAGGCAAAACGCACTGCAAGTTAAACCGACTGCGAAAGAACAAGCCCACAGATACTCCGTGCGTTCAAAGCCAACATCCTCACAAACGCAAAGTGATGCGCCCCAAACACAGATCAAGGAAAACGAATGACACGCAGGTCTCCAGGCTCTGAAAACACAAGGCGCCCGAAGCTGTCCTCCACGTGGCTGTCCCCAGCCACCCACTCCCCCCGCGCGGCAAGCGGTCCGGGGCCAGGCCCGGCCGTCCGCGGGGGCGGGGCCAGGACGCCGGCGGCGCGCTGACGTCACGGGCGTGCGTCGTCCGTCGCGCCGGCCGGCGGGAGGCGGGCTGGCGGCGGTAGCGGTCGCCCGCTGGGTTGCGTGACCGCGGGGTCTGCGTCCGCTCCCTCCGCCCTCCGCCCTCCGCCCTTCGCCTCGCCCGGGCCTCCGCAGCCCGGCAACGGCCGTCATGGTGCCGTCGGCACACCTTGCGCGGCCCCGCTGAGCCTCCGTGCGGCGGCGAGCGCGGTCGAGGTCGCCATGCCTACCCGTGAGTGGCTGGCCGAGGGCCGGGCCGGGCCGGGGGCGTTGGGAGGCGGCGGCCGGCTCTGCGCGCTTGGGGGCCGGGTCGTCCTCCCGGGGCGGCTGGGGAGGCCGGGCCGCGCTGAGCAGAGCCAGGAAGTGCCTGCGAGCGGCGGAGTTAGTTTCGTTTCGGCTTAGCCTTCCGGGGATGGCGTGAGCCCGTTGCACGGATGGGGAAACTGAGGCCCGAACGTGAAGGGAACGGCTGGGACGCGCTGTGAGGAGGCGGCAGAGCCAGTGGTAACCCAGACCCGTGGGATTTCAAAGTTAAAGCCCTTTTCCCAGCCCGCCACACGGCTTCGTGGGACTTTATGCAAATACTGAAAATGACTGCCGGGCGCTTGTCAGCCCCTTCCCACCTCGGGGCCCCGAGCCCCTGCCCGCGGCCCCCAGACCCGCGACAGCCTAACTCGGCGTCCGTTTCGCGGCCCGGGCGGCTGAAGTCGGGAGCTTGTTAGGCAGAGGCGCCTCGAGAGTGGCTTTTGGACCACACTTTGGATTCACCCGGGCGGATGGTTAAAAATGCCGGCTTGGGGGTCCCTCTCTAGCCCCATGGGATTAGAGTCTGGAGGTTGGGCCCCGGCGTCTGCATGTCTGATTAGCATTCCTGGGGTTACCAAGGGACCTCAAAGTTTAAAAGTCACTCGATGTTGGAGGATTTTTAGACAGATGAGATACAAATACTACTAATGACCTATTTTAAAGTGACCCAGATAATCGCAATGTGACTTTATACCCACTGGTCTGTATGGATACATGCAAATAGGGAAGCTCCTGATCCTGGGTAGAGAGGATGCAGCTTGGCGTTGATTTGAGAATTCTTTTCAAGTAGGACTCTTTTGAGTAAGTATTCAATGCCATAGAGTTTTTACACACTCGTGAATATATTTCCTAGAATTCATAACTACTTCTATTTGTCCTTATTTTTGTAGCCATATAGGACACTGAATTTTCAGGTCAGCCTCAAACGCACGTTTTGTCTAGTGATGGGAAAAAGTTATTTCTCTAGAAAGATTGATTTTTTTTTTATATTTAAGGATATTAAATTTAAATCGATATTAAAGATATTTAAATATCTTCTTAAGGATTTAGTGATTTTCCTGTGGCATAACTTTAAATAGTCCTGATATAGAGATTACTTTTAACTCCTTATACGTGTGTGGGTACTATGGATTTTGTTTTCTTTACACACTACTGTGTGTCCTTAACTCATGCTCTTGGACTTCGTATCCAGTAAATATGTCCAGTTTATATTTCTGTTTTATTACTTTTGGCTGGAGGAATATTATTTACAGTCATCTTCATTGTTATTATTGCCAGTTTGTTACTTCTTTTTTTTTTTTTTTTTGAGACGGAGTTTCACTCTTGTTACCCAGGCTGGAGTGCAGTGCCGCGATCTTGGCTCACCGCAACCTCCGCCTCCTGGGTTTAGGCAATTCTCCTGCCTCAGCCTCCTGAGTAGCTGGGATTACAGGCACGCGCCACCATGCCCAGCTAATTTTTTGTATTTTTAGTAGAGACGGGGTTTCACCATGTTGACCAGGATGGTCTCGATCTCTTGACCTCGTGATCCACCCGCCTCGGCCTCCCAAAGTGCTGGGATTACAGGCTTGAGCCACCGCGCCCAGCCTGCTAGTTTGTTACTTCTAAATTCATGCTCACGTTTTCAGTGAATATTTCGGATTGGCACTATGTTAATCTTTTATTTTCTGAGAAAGCAAAGGGGAGGAAGTAAGCACCTATTCTTGAAAGTTGAGGCTTCAAGTGGAATTTATTGGTAGCATGCCCAAATTACAATCCTATGAAATAAAATGTTTAATTCTGTTCTAGGGTTATCTAGCTTCACAGAGTGGATATAATAAACTTTCTTCTTTTCAGATTTTTAGTTTACTCTGCAAAATGATTTTAGGATGGGCCATGGTGGAGTTTGCATAGTGAAAATACAGATTTCACTACCTGACTGGAAGACAATGAAATGTTTATGTGTCATTTTTAATATTTGTCATGGTAATAGCTGTCATTTTTTTAATGACTGAATAAATGTGTGCTGTGGATTGATTGGGGGTACCAGTGTGAGGTGAGTAGTGTTCATATTTGCCTTTTCTCTCCTTTGGCGGTCACAGCTGCCAAAATTGCTGGGATAGTGCAGTGGACAATAATATTTCTTTGAAATTCTATTTGTCAAATATTTATCCAACACAGAGATGGCAAAATTCTCACTCTCCTTAGGAGTTTAGGAGGAAATTCACGGCTTTTAGGAAGAAAACTGCTCAAATAAGCTGTTTCTGTTGGGTGGGTTGTTTGTTTTAATGTTAAGTGGTTGAGAGGCTCAGTGATAAGTTAATCTGTTTGAGTTTTAATTAAAATCAAAGGTTTGGAGGTGATCACTGTGGTCTCTCAGACTCTGCAATTCTGAGAGCAACCCTGTAAGTCACAGAATTATTCTACTCTTGCTATTTTGTTGCTTATTTGGAATATTGGTACTCAGTAACTGAAACTGTTGTTAATAAGTAGAATCCAGTGGAGCATGCAATAACCCCACTGGCTAAGCAATGATATATCTCATGAATATTAATAACTACTTCACTGGAATTATTTTGGAGATCCATAGACTCTTTGAGAAAGCAATCACCTGGAAGGCTGCCTGACAGGAAACTGCGAGGACACGGGAACGATTTTGTGGTCCTCTTACAAGCCTGTAGTCTGAAACAGTCCTTGGGCACAGATTTCAAGACTATGTCACCAAATGAGTGAACCTATAATTTGACACATCATTTTTCTAGAGGCCTTTATTTCATTCTTCATTCAAAGGATCATTAAGAAGCATTTCATTTTAAAAGATTTTCAAACTCTGAATCAGAATTTGAGTTGGAAGGACTGTTAAAGCTTCTTAATCATTTTAGTTTGTGTATATTGAGAAGCTGAGCCTTCTGTGAGTTTCCATGGAATAAAACCACGACTTGAACAGAGAACTGGCCCTTGTAATCAGTAATCGCAGTGAGCAGAGTAACATTCATTTTTTTCTAGCACTAAATCAAAAATAGTTTAGTTACATTTTTTTTTTCCCCTTCAGTTACATTAAGACAAATGTAAGTTTGGTCAACATTTAAATCGTTCTGTGAACTTACAAGAATGCTCTATCTTGTCACAGAAATCTTTGGAAGAACTGTGGATTACACTGGTGTGCTAAGTAGATTCCTATTTATATAGCCACAAACTTAAACTTTTAGTAAACTTGTTATGTGAAAGTGGCTCCTGAGTTCATAGATAACTTGCCTCAAAGCAGGTACAATAAAATGTGCTCTTTTATTTTATATGAGAAGTTATTCTATACTTGCTAGGGATAACCCAAATTCTCAAACATTGTTTGCTATTAAACTATACTTGCATTAATTATGTGTGGTTAATGCTTTCTTTTCTCATTTAGTTACTGACATTGACGTCTAGGCAGATTTCTGAGGCTGTAGTAATAATATGGTTACTCCATGTTTGTTTTTCTTGATGAGGCTAATTTCATTTAACTTGTTTTTTAATTCAGTCTTATGAAAGAAGTGCAGAATGAATAGTAAAAGAGCAGTACTGACTGAAGTGTTTTCCTTTCCGAGACACATTACATCCAAACTTGACCTACCTGCTTTCCTGTTACTGGATTATTAGCCTTTTGTATTCATTCATATTCGCATCATTTCTCTTCCTTTTTCCCTTCTTCCTTGCTTTCCTCATTGTCCCCTTGCTTCCTTCCCACCCCGCAATCTCCTTCCTTCCTTGCCTTCCTCCTTTCTTCTACCTACCATCTAGGTGTCCTGCCAGAGTTGTAGCTGATGAATTTTCTTTTTTTCAGTGTTGGCTTGACACTGCCCTTTGCTGCCCAGCTCTAATCTTTCGGTGTGTCCCCACTTAGGGGTTGGGGGGACATGGGGCTGCATTAAAGATTGTGTAGGTGGTAGGAGACAATGCTGGAGAAAGGGAAAGCCAGAATTTGAGGGTTTATGTGCTCTTACAATCACAGTTACAGTGGCTATTTTATAGGCTTAGTAGCAGTTTCCAACTTATTGATTACTTTATGAAGACTTACAGTTTTCTATTAGTAATAGGAATTAATTATTGAATGCCGATTGTGAACTAGGCAATATACTTTGTGCTTTACCTGAACTATTTTATTTAGCTCTTCCACTTTGAAGGAGGCCCTGTTTGACCTGTTTTAGAGGATAGCGAGTTTGAAGTTCAGAAAAGTTACATTCCTAATGACAGTAAGTGGTAGAGCTGGGATTGGAACTAGATGGGCCTGATCTCTGACTCCCAGCACTTTTTTCATAGTCTAGTGCTCTGAGCTAGGCAGGAGTTGAATGGAATCCCATCAGTTTAACACCGTCACTTTTGATTAACACCGTGGCTGGTTACATAGTAGGTGCTTGGTAAATGTTTAATAAATAGATAATTGAATGTTTAAAAAATTTTTAAATTGATACATAATATTTTCACATATTTTTGGAGTAGGGTACATGTGAGATTTTGTTAAATTCATACAACATATAATAATCAGGTCAGGGTATTTAGGGTATCCATCACTTCCAGTGTTTATCATTTCTTTGTGTTGGGGACATTTCAAGTCCTCTAGCTACTTTGAAATATACAGTACCTTGTTAATTATAATCATCCTACTCTGTTATCAGTCACTAGAACTTATTTCTTCTATGTTTTTACCTATTAACCGGCCTCTCTTTATCTTCCATGTTCCTCCTCACCCTCCCACCCTTCTGGCTTGTATGTAGAATGGATTGAATAGTAACTGGAGTCGGATAAGTCATTCTTTGGATACCATAACCGGAACTATTTTTTTTCATACAGATAGTGTCTTAAAAGTTTTATAATTTGGCCAGGAGTGGTAGCTCACACCTGTGATCTCAGCACTTTGGGAGGCCAAAGTGACAGGATCACTTGTGGCCAACAGTTCTAGACCAGCCTGGG